TCAGTTGAAATACCCTAGGGTATCTCCTTTTTTTTAAATAGTTTGATGGGGGTAAATTACATTGGCCGGCTTCAAAAATGTCCCAAGTAGGACATGGGTGCATGATGACCAGCTGAGAATAATCCAAATTGGAAAACTGGAATGCGTACCCTCCAAATAAGGTCTTTTATCCTCAACAGAAACCCAACACACCTATACATGGATGGTTTCACTGTACTCAGGAGATGTTGCTGAATACATGTTTTGGTGTTCTTTGGCAGTAATGCATAACAGAAGTTGAGAATCCATGCCTAAAGTACAATGTGAGAGAAAAATAACACAAAAAATAACTACCCAAAAGTTTGACAAAGACTGGTGGTAGAATTAGTGCATGGAAAGTGTTAAAATACCACCATTTGAAATATCCTAGGGTGTCTACCTTTCTAAAACATATGGTTTGATGGGAGTAAATTTCATTGGCTGGCTTCAAAAATGTCCCAAATAGGACATGGGTGCATGATGACCAGCTGAGAAAATTTTAAGTTGGAAAACTGGAATGTGCACCCTCCAAATAAGGTCTTTTATTCCCCAGAGAACCCCACACACCTATACATAGGGGGTATCACTGTACCTGTACTCAGGAGATGTTGCTGAACACTAATTGGGGTGTTTGCCACTTTGTACCTTGTATATATTGATTCTCAATAACCCATTGTGTTATTTGAGGTTGTGAATAAGCAACCTTTTGCTGACTAGAGACTGGGAAGAGAGCTCGATCTGCAGCATACATAGCCCCTGAACACCCAGGGAACCGGGAATAAATCTCCGGGACCGAGGGCAAGCGTAAAGTAAAAGTGCCTGCAAGTTGATAAAAAGGCAACAAGCCTGAAGTTCCTTATTCCATGTATTCATGGCTGGTATATGAGAATAATCCTCACAGAGACACATTAGGAGAATCAAGTCCTCTCAAGTCCTCTGTCTCAGATTCATTCAGCCGTATCCCCAATCTGCTGTTGGTTGTATATATTCTATGTAAAGGTCGGTTTTGGGTAACGACCTGGGGAGGCTGTTTTGCATTTTTGAAGCTAAGTATTGTCTATAATTCACTAATATTCACAGTGGTGATATTTTGGTTTTGCATTACACTGCTGAGGTTTGATGCCTTATTGTACTGTGAGATGTCTGGAAGGCTCATGTGTTTGAGGTTCCAGATAAACTTATTGATATTAGATTGTAATGTTTGAAGATATGAGCCAGGAAGTTTAAGATGGAAATTGTAAACATGCACCATAATTTCGGAAGGACCTGATGGCTGCAATTCCTGTCCAAGATAAAATGTTGTGTTTCCCTTTGTAAAGAAGGTCCACAGTGGATTGCATGATTAAGGGAGAACATGTTACTAACTTTGTAGGGTTGGTATATACCCAAGAAAGAGGATGTGAAGGTGTTAAGGGCTGCGCTAAAGGCTAATAGCAGTATTCTATAACAATAGAAACCAGACCAAATGGTCTAAATGGATAAACAACAACAATAAGGCCTACATAAATAATACAGAAGAGATAACAGAAGAGAATAAAAGTCTCACTTTAGACAACAGAATAAGAATAAAGGTAAACCCGTCTGAATAATAAAATATATAATCTGGAGGGTAAAAAAAATGTGTATAAAAGTCTCACTGATATTTCTGGATAGGGTAGGGGGTACAGTACTCGGGAGTTGATCCGTCCGGATTGTTAAAATATCCGTATATGTGAAGACGAAAGGAAAACACATCAGAAAGTTAATAGTTTAATATGGTTAAATCCAACCAGCTCTGGGGTGAAGGGTGGGTAGCGGTATAATCCCCGCTAGAGGATATACCATTTTGAAAAAGCCTTAAAGGTGTTAATGGTTTTAAATTGTGTATTTTAACAATAAAAGTTACCTTTTTTTGGACCAATTTTCATTTTATTGGATTTTATATGCACTTTTTATTTTTATTCTCCCTGTCATTTTTATTGTATCCTGAACTCAAGTAATCCTAGGTGGGGATCATTCCACCAACGCTGTATTGATAGAGCAGTAACTACTGCTCTATACTTGTGAGTATATTTTATATATATTTTACTACTCATCCCTTATATACTGAGAGCACTATTGCTGTTTTTTTATATACCTTGGAGCACTAAACAAACCAGGACAGAGTGACGGATGCACCTCTCCACTATATCCTCTAGCGGGGATTATACCGCTACATGCCCTTCACCCCAGAGTTGGTTGGAGCTCTCACAAATGTGAGTGTATTATCTTCCTTTTACATATTTTACCATTGGATTTTAACAATATCACACTATCGGCTGTCTGTCGTGTTTTCCTTTTGTCTTCACATACACGAATATTTTAACAATCCGGACAGATCAACTCCGAGGACTGTACCCCTACCCTATCCAGAAATATCAGTGAGACTTTTATACAAATTTTTTTAACCTCCAGATTATATATTTTATTATTCAGATGGATCTACCTTTATTTTTATTCTGTTGTCTAAAGTGAGACTTTTATTCTCTACTGTTTTTTATTATTTATAGAGGCCTACTTGTTGTTGTTTATCCATTTGGTCTGGTATGATTGTTATAGAATACTGCTACTAGCCTTTAGCGAAACCCTTCTTTTGGGTTGCTGCTTATTATTCTGTTATTTAGCGCTGACTCTTCCCCTCTGTTCTTATATACCCAAGAAAGTAATAACATAATCTCTCCAGCCATATGCATATTGTGAATGGAAGTGAGATATAGCTTTTTCTGTAAAGCTTACTTCCATAGCTTGCATTTTTGTAATATTCAGTTTATAGTAGGAGTATCTGCTATAATCATTAAGGAGCTTGTGAAAAACTGGCAAGAATGTTATTGTTATATAGTAGCCAGAATATCATCAGCTAAGAGGTTTCATTTATACTGACAGTTGCCTAATGCAATTCCTTTAATATCTGGATTTCTTCAGACCATTTTCATCAATATATATTTTTTCCCTTTCTTCCAAGGAAAGTGAAGCTTCCATAATGACTTTTTGTTGAGGGGTCGATTTGGGGAGATGCACCTAACTGAGAAAATTGTTAATTTTAGCTGGGGTTGGTTGTCGTATGGATGTATTATTTTTTAAGTTATAACATTTGGCATAGAACTTTGCAAATGTGTTACAAATCTCCTGGGATCTACTAATCTTATGGCCGGAGTCAGAAAGTAGATCAGAAATTTTGGTGCATACATATCTCTTAATTGGGCAAAGATTGTTTTGCCAGCTTTGTTACCATGCAGGTAGAATAAGTTTGTGCAATGTATAAGCCATTTTTTAAGGTTGATGATGTTTATTTGGTCTGTGAGTTTCCATATATGATCTTGTAGGGTGACCAAAGGGGCTAATACATGGGCTTGGGTTGTATCTCTGAGGATCTCATGATCCAATAAGTTAGTTTGAGGTTTTTTCTTAAGGTATGAGGCTTGACTATTGAGTATGCCCTACATGACCATTTTATGAGCCAGACAGAGAGAATCTGGAGAAATACATTTAATGGAAAGTATTTTTTAAGGTTAGATTGGAGTTGTGTTAAAAACGGCAACGGTATTGGAATTGGTTTGTAAGAGTTATTATAATCAGTGAGTGGTCTGACCAAACTAAATCCCCAATGTCACAAGTTCCTACATTATTGAAGAGTGTACCTGGGAGAAAACATACATTGATTTGGGAATAGGAGTAATAGATTTAGGATCTGTCAATTTAAAGGGTTGTACAAAACATCGTAAAAATTATGTGTTTGTATCAGTGAGGAGACTTTTAGTATGTAAATAGGGTCCAATATGTGATTTAGATCACCTCAAAAGTGATGCCTTTTTATGCAACAAATTCCTTTGGTTGGTATTGGGGCTATACATGTTAACTAGAGTGTACATTGTATTGTCAAGCAGGCAGATAAGAATAAGGATCTACCTTGGGGGTCCCCCAATTTTTGTAGTAGCTCGAAAGCCACTGTTTTGTGAATCAGTATGGATACTCCTCTGGATTTACTGGAGTAGGTATGGTGATATTGTATAGGGTTAGATTTTTGGTATGCCAAATCGTTTCTTGGATGAATTCAATGTCTGCAGATACTTTCTGTGCAACTTATGAGGAACGTTTAAACCCCTAACATTATACATTTATACCCAACAGAAGGAAAGCAGAGGGAGCAGTAAAAACATTGTATTTTTACATTATATATTTCTTAAATATATACTTTTTTTTTACTGCTTCTCCTTTTTTGCCTCTTATGATCATGTCTCATGGGTAAAATTTAGAATCATGACCACAAACTATACATGTCTGGCATTGTGCAGTTTAGGTGCTCCATAATTTGGATGCATATTCAGTCAGAGTTAGGGAGTTTGCCCAAAATCCGTCTGAATTGCAGTTTGTCCCGAAACAACTATCCAAGTCTAATTATAAGAGCAATATATTGCAGTTCCTATAAATAAAGTGGACAGTCTTACATTTCATTGTAAAAGATTCTTGAACCTCAAGTGTTTATATGTCCATAAAGATTATATGTCCTGATTTTACAATTTGAATTGAACTTTTCATATAAAACTCAGAACCCTCCTGTGATTTATTGAACAAAGTTGAATGCAATCTGGACTCCCTTGTGCTCACAGTTATACATCCTGTTTCAAAAATCTAAAGAAAAAAATGCAGTTTAACCTCTTAAGGACACATGACATGTGTGACATGTCATGATTCCCTTTTATTCCAGAAGTTTGGTCCTTAAGGGGTTAAAGAAATGCTCCCTCATTCCCCAGCAGGACACATTTCTGCAAGTCAGAAAAGGAAAATATTTTTCAGAAGAAGAACTCATTTGACAATGTTTTTACTGCATAGAAGACAACAGATCTTCATCCATATTATCTAGCTATGTTTGCCAGTAGTGATGTCCCAAACTGTTTGCCGAATTGTTCGCCGCGGTTCGCCACGGTTTGCCGCGAACGGTTCGCCGCGGACTCCATTCAGCAGACACATTCCAGCAAATCAGCAGCAGACCCTCCCTCCCAGACCCTCCCACTTCCTGGACAGCTCACTAAGAATGCAGCTTCAAAATGGATGCTGTCCAGGAGTTGGGAGGGCCTGGGAGGGAGGATCTGCTGCTGATTGGCTGGAATGTGTCTGCTGACCAGAGTTCGTGGCGAACCGTTCGTGGCGAACCGTGGCGAACCATTCGCGAACAGTTCGGCGAACAGTTCGGGACATCACTATTTGCTAGTACACTATAAGCAATGCTTTACTACTGAACAGAAGCATGTTTCCTTCTTGTGTAAGAGTATATGAGAAATACATTGTCTAAAATTTTGAATTTATAAATACCTTAAATGAGCTTAGGTGGCGATTTGAATATATATACTTTGGAAAGCCTCAAATAATGCAACGAAGATTCAGGGCACATAGATAAACATAACATAACTGCAAATAATTTTCTTTCTTCAAAAGTATAAAAAAAGTGTCAAAGCAATGATGGATTTAGAACCATGGTATAAGAACGATTGAAAGTATATCTCTCTTTCTCACTGCATTTAGTTATGTCACAAACAGTTAGGATCAAAGAAAAAAAATCTCTTTCTATATAGAGGTGAGATGAGATCTGCACAGTTACAGTTACACCTTCCTAGAAAGCTAGCATGCATGGGTAACTAATGCAATAGAATAATAAAACAAAAAGGCATTGTTTCATGGTAGACATTTTCTGTAGTATAATAAGTTTTCAGATGGTTAGTTTCTCCCAACACATACTAACTAGTCATTTAAAAATAAAAAGTAAATGTTTTAATATATTTGTTCTTCTTCGTACGATGATGGGAGCTGAATCTATGTATGCCTTTGCATGCACCTTTAAAAAGACTTATGCCCCATATGCAGATGTATGAGACACACATATGTTTAAAAGTTCTTATGAACTGGTCTATGTCCTTAACTGGCAGCCATCTCCCAATCTCGACATCACCTATAGCTTTCTTTTTTTTTTATTCTTTTTTTTTTGTTGTGCAATGAAATTACAGGCAAGCTTGCAATGCCACAACAGCCAGAGCAAGTACGGCAAAATATATGAGAGAGACAGTTGTATGGCATTTTGACATTTCAGCACATTTTCATGTTAACATAAAGATAGGCGAAGCGAATATGCCTTTGTCTAAGAGACATAGGCTAGCCATTTGTGATAAGGCCTGTTAGATAAAAATGCTTAAAACTGGCTTGACATGTAGATTATAATAGGCTGGTCACAAATAAGGCTAGCTAGACAGGGTCCTGCAATGCTCCGACTTCATTTGAAAAGCTTAACAATAAATAATGGCTAAGCATGTGAAATAACTGCACATTTTAAATAACATTCAAGCTAGGCTAACCTGACCAGGTTACGTGACTTATCTGAAAAGAATAGGGAGCCATCTGGGCAGGATAATAATTAGTAAGATGGTAAAATATTAAATGGAAGAACACACGCTTAGACTTGTCACTAGTAGAGACCACTGGAAGGTTTCACAATATCACTGCATAAAAAAAAAAAAAAAACATAAAGCAAAACAAAATATCATTTTTTTTTTTAATTCTTTGCATAGACGATGTACCCCCACTCCAAAATGATGATAGTTGTTGACAGGTCCACCACATGTGCATGTACGTCCCATTAAGACCACATTTTTGACAGCGTAGATCAGAAGCTGTGTGTTGGAGAATGACCAACGTAATTTTATGGCATATTTGTCCCATATCCTAAATTAAATGAGAATAGCTGAACAGTGTGTTTGCAAAAAGGGTCAGGCAGTTTGAAAAATTGTGGGAGATCTAGAAAAAAAAAGATCAGACTCAAAGTCAACCAATCGGTGCCAAACTGGAGAGTGCAATAGCTGAACTAAGTTAGCAAACTAGGCAAAAATAAACCTTCCCATACTTTAGCCACCCTGTGTCTCTTGCCCTCCCAAACAAAATCATCACTTACTCACTGGATGGACCACAGATCTTAGTCAGTCATTAGAATTGAGAAGGCCTGAAACAAGTACAAAAGGTGAGCATGTTGATTTTAACACTGTGCATTCTGTCCACCCAGGAGATGGCGTATGTATCTCAGTTTTTAATGTTTCTCTTTAGGGCAGCATATATAGGGGGCAGTTAGCAGAACTACATAGAGAGAGCAGCTGTTATCATAATTCCCAAGTGAGGAATAGATGTGGAAGTGAATTTTATTATAAATAATAAAATAATAATAATAATAATAATAATAATTGCAAATGATAGGCCTCTGACAATTGTTTGCATTCTTCTTGGGGGACATCTATGCTATATATTTCTGTACATTCACCTTGAGAATGCTTGCAATAGGGAGAACAAGTGAGGTAAAGTGGAGGTTGGCTTAGTGATTTTTAGCATAAGATCATCCTCATATGCAGAGAACTCAGAGCTCAAGACCCTAAGTCACCTGATATTCTCACCCTGTCTATTAAGAGTAAGGAAGGGTTCCATGGATAACACAAACAGAAGGGCTGACAGGGGAAAGCTTTATCTGGCGCTGTTGAAAATATTGAACAGAAAAGAAAATTACACATGTACAGATGTAGAGAATGAAAGGAGTGATGTGAGACATACCTGAGAATCCCATCATGAATCCTCCAGCTGAAGGTGTCCACATACAATATAGGGCCCATCCAGGACCTACATGGGACTGGTAGAACTTAAAGCAGGAGTCTCCCATATGTGCTAAAGGCCCCATCAGTTCTGAAGTAAAATGCTAGGTCTTAAGAGTCCTCTGCCAAAGAAGATGAGTGGAGCAGCAATGACTGTAGAGTGCCCCATTCTGGGAATTAAAGCGGAACTATCATGCCAAACTTACCTTTCCCAAATTGCTTCCTCTTCTCTCCCTCTCTCAGGATCTGTTCTTTATTTCTTAATATCTGCTCTAGTTTTCTTTAAAACATAAGAAGGGACTACTTTGTCTTATGTATTTTTCCTGTGCTTGTCCTGCTCTGACCCACTTCCACTTCCTGTGGGTCAGAGAAATTTTCCCACAATACTCACCCTTTCCTCAATGATTTTGCAATGCCTGCTTTCACTATTCCCTAATGTCCTTTCATATAGACAGGATGCTGGTGAAACTACCGAATTTTGTCCTAACACAACAGTTTGTTCATTCATGTTAGGACGCAATTCGGAACTTTTCTTTGGATCTGAATTTTATTAGAATGAATGAAACTCTGATCCTATTCATGCCATGAGTAGATAGCGCCCTAATTCCCATGGTATCAGGGAGCCATCTACCAAAAGGCTGAAAGACCTAAATTGCTCTTTCAGCCATATTTACTAATACTAAGTAAAAATTACTTAGTATTAGTGAATAAGTGAGTTTTAATTCTCCTTATTGCCCCTACTCGCTGTACCGTGAGTAGGGGCATATCTACTAAACAGTGAGCAGCCACAGGTAAATTTTGAGCCTTGTCTGATTGGTAACTTGCAAGGTTCACATTTACCTGGTTTAAACCAACCAATCAGAGCACTCTGTGTCAAACTGCAAGGCGTGGGAAGGCTTTATAAGCCTTTCCCCGCCCTGTGAATGTTCCACCATCTTGCACCATGTGAGGTTGTTGGTGGACTCAGACGATTCCAAGTCTTGTTGTTTCCTGGGTGAAATCTACCCTCCAAGCTGCAGGGAATAGTAAAGAAAGAAGGTAGAATGGTAAAGAGTGGTGAATCTATTACTGATAGATAAATTGAAGGAAAGTGTGGCCAGAACTCCACTAGCATGCGCCATCCACTTTGCCAGGCAAACTCTGCCCCCATAGTTGTTCATTTTTCATGCTCTCTTGTGCACTGTTTTGGTTTGCTTGCATAGGTTACCATCAGTACAAATACAACTAACACAATTCCATAATGGAATAGATAAGGTTTGAAACGCATTATTTCACATAAAAAAATTGCAAACTTACTGGTGGGATAAATAAGGAAAAAAGAACATCATGTATAAAAGACCATAGGAGTAGCAGACAAAATTTTATGTGACATAATGCATACTAGTACTAATGCTAATTTCTTACTCTGTTTTTTCCCACTTGTGGTCAGCCATTAATTCTGCCACTTGTACAGGAGTCAGGCTACTGTAGCTCTAGAGGACATTATTTTGGAGATGTTTTGGCTTTTATGATGCCTTCAATCTCAGACCTCCATGATGAGGAAAACATCTTTAGTCCTGTACAGAGCATAAAGCATAACTGTTGTTGACTTCTAAGAATGGCCACCATCACTTATGTAGATTTCTTGGAGGTTGTCTGTGCAGCTAGGGAACCCCTTATTTATGACAGGAAAGAGATTTATTAAAGTGGATCACCTGAGACATGAAGATAGGACTGCAGCTACAAAAAGTGGCACCGGTACAAGAATAACCCCATGGAGGGTAGCAAAAGCCAATGGATCCACCACAACTTCCATCCCATAAGGATGAGCCTAATGGGAACATCATTTGGATCCTAAATTTTTTTGATTGGACTATTAAATATGCCAAGTTTTTTATTTAGTAATCCAATTAATTTTTTAGTATATAATATTTTTTTCTTTTTGAAGAAACATTTCTGTTTCTTTTTTATTTCTTTAGATTTTTCTAAAACAGTAGTAAGAAATAAATAAGATTGACCTTAGCCAACTAAAGTCTTTTCTAGCTCCATAATTGAGTAACTATGTATTTTCAAATCAAGGTAAATGGTAGTTGAAAAACCCAAACAATGTCCTATTTGAACTAGCATTGGTTTTATTGTAGTCAGATTCTGATATATCTCATTCGTGTAGTACTGAGATTTTATTAGCATTTTTGCTATGGTTTTTAGCAGTGCATTACTTTCCATTCAGCATTAAACTTCTGAAGAGGCTGTGTGTCTATAATTCTCATCATAATGTTTGAGCGTTTATTTAAAATAGTTAATGTAAAAATTGCTATTGTTATTATTTTTCCTTAGATGTTCTCGGTGTGAATACATTCCATCTAAAGACACTACTTTACATAGCAACATAACACAAGCACAAAAGAACCAATCTTGCTGTCTGTTTTCATCAAATGCAATCACAGTAAAACCTGTATTATCATAAATTGTGTTTAGCTCAAAGGATAACATTGTAATTTCATCTTATTTTCC